ATGGCGGTGCTGGTAGTCGTGTGATGGCGGTGCTGGTAGTCGTGTGATGGCGGTGTTGGTAGTCGTGTGATGGCGGTGCTGGTAGTCGTGTGATGGCGGTGCTGGTAGTCGTGTGATGGCGGTGCTGTAGTCGTGTGATGGCGGTGCTGGTTAGTCGTGTGATGGCGGTGCTGGTAGTCGTGTGATGGCGGTGCTAGTAGTCGTGTGATGGCGGTGCTGGTAGTCGTGTGATGGCGGTGCTAGTAGTCGTGTGATGGCGGTGTAGTAGTCGGGGTGATGGCGGTGCTGGTAGTCGTGTTTATGGCGGTGCTGGTAGTCGTGTGATGGCGGTGCTGGTAGTCGTGTAGGGTGTATGTCGGGGCGGTGCTGGTAGTCGTGTGATGGCGGTGCTAGGGAGTCGTGTGATGGCGGTGCTAGTAGTGTGTGATGGCGGTGCTGGTAGTCGTGTGATGGCGGTGCTAGGGAGTCGGTGTGATGGCCCGGTGCTAGTAGTCGTGTGATGGCGGTGCTGGTAGTCGTGTGATGGCGGTGCTGGTAGTCGTGTGATGGCGGTGCTAGTAGTCGTGTGATGGCGGTGCTGGTAGTCGTGTGATGGCGGTGCTGGTAGTCGTGTGATGGCGGTGCTGGTAGTCGTGTGATGGCGGTGCTGGTAGTCGTGTGATGGCGGTGCTGGTAGTCGTGTGATGGCGGTGCTGTGGTGTCGTGTGATGGCGGTGCTGGTAGTCGTGTGATGGCGGTGCTGGTAGTCGTGTGATGGCGGTGCTTGTAGTGTGTGATGGCGGTGCTGGTAGTCGTGTGATGGCGGTGCTGGTAGTCGTGTGTGAAGGCGGGCTGGCTAGTCTGGAGGCCGGGGCGTAGTGTGTGATATTTATGTCTGGAAAAGAGAGAGGCTTATACAGAACGTACGGAAATTTGGCATTTTATTGGCAGCATTTTAATTTTCTCACATTCTGTAACATATGGGAAAATGTAGACTTGTGTAGTGTATCTTCCTGTAACTGATTTTTACGGTTGAGTTATGTTGAGTTAGGTTTAAATCATAAGATATTACAAGGACCTTAATGGAAATAACTCTTTATATCTTATTCCTACTATATATCCTTTATAGTATAATAATAAGACACTAAATCCTTTATAGTATAATTATAAGACACTAAATCTTTACAGTATAATAATAAGACACTAAATCCTTTATGTATAATAATAAGACACTAAATCCTTTATAGTATAATAATAAGACACTTAAATCCTTTATAGTATAATAATTTAATAAGACACTAAATCCTTTACAGTATAATAATAAGACACTAAATCCTTTATAGTATAATAATAAGACACTAAATCCTTTATAGTATAATAATAAGACACTAAATCCTTTATAGTATAATAATAAGACACTAAAATCCTTTACAGTATAATAATAAGACACTAAATCCTTTATAGTATAATAATAAGACACTATAATCCTTTACAGTATAATAATAAGACACTAAATCCTTTATAGTATATTAATAAGACACTAAATCCTTTATAGTATAATAATAAGACACTAAATCCTTTTATAGTATATTATAAGAACTAAATCCTTTATAGTATAATAATAAGACACTAATCCTTTATAGTATTATAATAAGACACTTAAATCCTTTATAGTATAATAATAAGACACTAAATCCTTTATAGTATAATAATAAGACACTAAATCCTTTATAGTATAATAATAAGACACTAAATCCTTTTAGTAATAATAATAAGACACTAAATCCTTTTAGTATATTAAAAGAACACTAAATCCTTTTATAGTATTTAAAAATAAGACACTAAATCCTTTATAGTATAATAATAAAACACTAAATCCTTTATACTATAATAATAAGACACTAAATCCTTTATAGTATAATAATAAGACACTAAATCCTTTATGTATAATAATAAAGACACTAAATCCTTTATAGTATAATAATAAGACACTAAATCCTTTATAGTATAATAATAAGACACTAAATCCTTTATAGTATAATAATAATAAGGCACTAAATCCTTTATAGTATAATAATAAGACACTAAATCCTTTATAGTATAATAATAAGACACTAAATCCTTTATAGTATAATAATAATAAGACACTAAATCCTTTATAGTATATTAATAAGACACTAAATCCTTTATAGTATAATAATAAGACACTAAATCCTTTATAGTATAATAATAAAACACTAAATCCTTTATACTATAATGATAAGACACTAAATCCTTTATAGTATAATAATAAGACACTAAATCCTTTATAGTATTTATAAGACACTAAATCCTTTATAGTTAATAAAAGACACTAAATCCTTTATAGTTATAATTATAAGACACTAAATCCTTTACAGTATAATAATAAGGGCACTAAATCCTTTATAGTATAATAATAAGACACTAAATCCTTTATAGTATAATAATAAGACACTAAATCCTTTATAGTATAATAATAAGACACTAAATCCTTTACAGTATAATAATAAGACACTAAATCCTTTATAGTATAATAATAAGACACTAAATCCTTTACAGTATAATAATAAGACACTAAATCCTTTATAGTATATTAATAAGACACTAAATCCTTTATAGTATAATAATAAGACACTAAATCCTTTATAGTATATTAATAAGACACTAAATCCTTTATAGTATATAATAAGACACTAAATCCTTTATAGTATAATTTAATAAGACACTAAATCCTTTTAGTATAATAATAAGACACTAAATCCTTTATAGTATAATAATAAGACACTAAATCCTTATAGTATAATAATAAGACACTAAATCCTTTATAGTATAATAATAATAGACACTAAATCCTTTATAGTATATTAATAAGACACTAAATCCTTTATAGTATAATAATAAGACACTAAATCCTTTATAGTTTTAATAATAAAACACTAAATCCTTATACTATAATAATAAGACACTAAATCCTTTATAGTATAATAATAAGACACTAAATCCTTTATAGTATAATAATAAGACACTAAATCCTTTATAGTATAATAATAATAGACACTAAATCCTGTTTTAGTATAATAATAAGACACTAAATCCTTTATAGTATAATAATAATAAGGCACTAAATCCTTTATAGTTAATAATAAGACACTTTAAAACCTTTATAGTATAATAATAAGACACTAAAATCCTTTATAGTATAATAATAATAAGACACTAAATCCTTTATTTTGTATATTAAAAAGACACTAAATCCTTTATAGTATAATAATAAGACACTAAATCCTTTATGTATAATAATAAAACACTAAATCCTTTATACTATAATAATAAGACACTAAATCCTTTATAGTATAATAATAAGACACTAAATCCTTTATAGTATATTAATAAGACACTAAATCCTTTATAGTATAATAATAAGACACTAAATCCTTTATAGTATAATAATAAAACACTAAATCCTTTATACTATAATAATAAGACACTAATCCTTTATAGTTAAATAATAAGACACTAAATCCTTTATAGTATAATAATAAGACACTAAATCCTTTATAGTATAATAATAAGACACTAAATCCTTTATAGTATAATAATAAGACACTAAATCCTTTATAGTATAATAATAAAAAGGCACTAAATCCTTTTATAGTATAATAATAAGACACTAAATCCTTTATAGTATAATAATAAGACACTAAATCCTTTATAGTATAATAATAATAAGACACTAAATCCTTTATAGTATATTAATAAGACACTAAATCCTTTATAGTATAATAATAAGACACTAAATCCTTTATAGTATAATAATAAAACACTAAATCCTTTATACTATAATAATAAGACACTAAATCCTTTATAGTATAATAATAAGACACTAAATCCTTTATAGTATAATAATAAGACACTAAATCCTTTATAGTATAATAATAAGGCATTTAAAGGACCCCAGTGGAAATAAGTCACTATGACTTTTTGGGTCATCCCAGGTTCTCTACACACATGCTGCTATGTATAATAATCTATGTAATTGAATTTGTGTATACCTGAATAAACTTACTTACACTTTATCCGACTTTTTTGGGTCAACATAGGTAATTGACATACTGTGTGATAATTATACTTATGTGCATCTCTGCCTTAATAAACTTACTGTAGTACTCTTATAGAATTTATTCTCACCATTTATTTATGTACTAAGTCAGATATTTCAAACTGATGTGTGAAAGGTACTTAAAAAGTGAAACACCTGTTAAGTACCTTTAACACATCAATTTGGTTCGTATCCGGTTTGAAGGACCACAAAGTTTTTATGAATTATTTGAGTAAATACCTGCATGAGGTTTATTACAGGCAAGTAATTTGGGTGAGATAATTGGGACTTAAGTCACAGTAGGTCACAGGACTGTAACTCCCTCGATGCCCACTCTCTGCCCGGTGAAGGGGTAAATTAATAATTACAGTATTAAAACCAACTACTCTGGTAAATTAAAGTTGTGCACTGTATTGCTGGGTACACAAAAGAAATTTATATTATCACTCACCATTTAATTACTGTAGATGGATCACACCACGACACCGGCCTGACACCTAGTCCCTACACTGGCCAGTTAGAGATCTAAATGAGAGGACTAATAGTGCACATTCCTGTGAGTGATGGTCGTATCCCTTCTGCCATCCACATGCAATTCTTGAGGTCCTGCAAATTTCCTGTCCCAGTTCTTCAGAAGTTGGGAAAAACCCCAGTTTGGCCACGAAGACGCCGGATTATTAGCTGAATTTTCCACGACGCCGAGTACCTACAAATTACAAATGGCGTCTCACCTGGCTTCACTCAACAGCGGTTCAACACCTCCCTCACTCTTAATTCCTCGAAAACGTCATGTTTTGTTACACAATTATTGCATTATTCAAATTTACACATGCTGAATTTAGGATAATCCAAAATTTCCACAAGTGTAGCAAGATGTATAATTGTGTTTGTGTTTGTTCAGACACTCAGATGTGTCGCCACGAGGCTCTACCATCAATCTGCAGTCTGAGTCGTCTGCTGCCATGTGGGGCCCCAAGCAGAGCACCAGCAGCAGAGCTCAGCACCAGTCATTGACAAGTCACCACCAGAATGGGTGAGTCCTGCGTCATAGTCTCTGGTAGATTACATTGATCCTGTGCACGAAACTCACTTTGTATGATTTTTACTGTTACACAGAGAGTAGTTCCCTGTAGCTGGTAGCTGAAGCACGGGCGTGGGCTACAGCCAGGTGCTGGCATCTCTGCATGTGTCTGACAAAGAAAGAGAGCATACTTGCTTTCAGGGCTGAGGTCAGTGAGGGACCTGAAGGGGCTGTGGGTGTGAGAGTGCCACCACAGAGGCAGGCAAGGTTCCGCCCCGGCCCTGACCTGGAGGACATGCTGGCGCAGGCGCAGGTCACTGCATGGCGGGACGCATGGCTGGCCGGGGCCACATTCGTCACTCTGGAGATGGTGGCCAGACATGTGCAGAGGTCACTTTCGTGGGTCCGCCATCACTGGAATGACAACTCGCGCTCCCTGGCTGCCTCCCTCCGTGTACCCCAAAGTGACGCTGCGCGCTACAGGGAACCCAGGTCCACCACCTCTAACTGCCACCGTTACTACGTCTGCGGGGACTGTTGTGAAAGTTCAGACTCCCTGTGAGCTAAGTACTCTCTACTGCCAACACACCCAGCACACGGTACGCCCACGCCACGCCCACCCTAAACATCTCAAGATCATATATACCACCTCTAAGCTGTGACCGAATCTGTAATCTCTCCCAGGTTTTATTTTTCACCTTCCAATCTTATTTCCATTTCACTTGTTGGGGTTGAATTCCAATTCACATTTTCTGGTAATGTGTGTATCTTCTGTAATGTGTTAACATACAAATCTAATCGAATTCTTGTCAACAACTTGACGTCATTTTGAGACAAGAGACACATGATTTATCTCTGCTGGCTGTTTATTTACTTATATTAGCAATAGTACGGTTCCAGTACCGAACCTTCCAGGACCTCACTCATGCCCAGCTTGATGCACTCACCACTCATGCCCAGCTTGATGCACTCACCACACATGCCCAGCTTGATGCACTCACCACTCATGTTCAGCTTGATGCACTCACCACTCATTCCCAGCTTGATGCACTCAACACTCATGCCCAGCTTGATGCACTCACGACTCGTGCGCAGCTTGATGCACTAACCACTCATTCCCAGCTTGATGCACTCACCACTCATGCCCAGCTTGATGCACTCACCACTCATGTTCAGCTTGATGCACTCACCACTCATTCCCAGCTTGATGCACTCACCACTCATGCCCAGCTTGATGCACTCACCACTCATGTTCAGCTTGACGCACTCACCACTCATGCCCAGCTTGATGCACTCACCACTCATGTTCAGCTTGATGCACTCACCAATCATGCCCAGCTTGATGCACTCACCACTCATGCCCAGCTTGATGCACTCACCACTCATGTTCAGCTTGATGCACTCACCACTCATGCCCAGCTTGATGCACTCACCACTCATGTTCAGCTTGATGCACTCACCACTCATGCCAAGCTTGATGCCCTCACCACTCATGTTCAGCTTGATGCCCTCACCACTCATGCCCAGCTTGATGCACTCACCACTCATGCCCAGCTTGAGACAATCACCACTCATGCCCAGCTTGATGCACTCACCACTCATGCCCAGCTTGATGCACTCACCATTCATGCCCAGCTTGATGCACTCACCGCTCATGCCCAGCTTGATGCACTCACCACTCATGCCCAGCTTGATGCACTCACCACTCACGTCCAGCTTGAGACAATCACCACTCATGACCAGCTTGATGCACTCACCACTCATGCCCAGCTTGATGCACTCACCACTCCTGCCCAGCTTGATGCACTCACCGCTCATGCCCAGCTTGATGCACTCACCACTCATGTCCAGCTTGATGCACTCACCACTCATGCCCAGCTTGAGACAATCACCACTCATGCCCAGCTTGATGCACTCACCACTCATGCCCAGTTTGATGCACTCACCACTCATGCCCAGCTTGATGCACTCACCACTCATGCCCAGCTTGATGCACTCACCACTCATGCCCAGCTTGATGCACTCACCACTCATGCCCAGCTTGATGCACTCACCACTCATGCCCAGCTTGATGCACTCACCACTCATGCCCAGCTTGATGCACTCACCACTCATGCCCAGCTTGATGCACTCACTACTCATGCCCAGCTTGAGACAATCACCACTCATGCCCAGCTTGATGCACGCACCACTCATGCCCAGCTTGAGACAATCACCACTCATGCCCAGCTTGATGCACTCACCACTCATGCCAAGCTTGATACTCACCACTCATGCCCAGCTTGATGCACTCACCACTCATGCCCAGCTTGAGACAATCACCACTCATGCCCAGCTTGATGCACTCACCACTCATGCCCAGCTTGATGCACTCACCACTCATGCCCAGGTTGAGACAATCACCACTCATGCCCAGCTTGATGCACTCACCACTCATGCCCAGCTTGATGCACTCACCATCATGCCCAGCTTGATGCACTCACCACTCATTCCTAGCTTGATGCCCTCACCACTCATGCCCAGCTTGAGACAATCACCACTCATGACCAGCTTGATGCACTCACCACTCATGCCCAGCTTGATGCACTCACCACTCATGCCCAGCTTGATGCAATCACCACTCATGCCCAGCTTGATGCACTCACCACTCATGCCCAGCTTGATGCACTAACCACTCATGCCCAGCTTGAGACAATCACCACTCATGCCCAGATTGATGCACTCACCACTCATGCCCAGCTTGATGCAATCACCACTCATACCCAGCTTGATGCACTCACCACTCATGCCCAGCTTGATGCACTCACCACTCATGCCCAGCTTGATGTACTAACCACTCATGCCCAGCTTGAGACAATCACCACTCATGCCCAGCTTGATGCACTAACCACTCATGCCCAGCTTGATGCAATCACCACTCATACCCAGCTTGATGCACTCACCACTCATGCCCAGCTTGATGCACTAACCACTCATGCCCAGCTTGAGACAATCACCACTCATACCCAGCTTGATGCACTCACCACTCATGCCCAGATTGATGCACTTACCACTCATGCCCAGCTTGATGCAATCACCACTCATGCCCAGCTTGATGCACTCACCACTCATGCCCAGCTTGATGCACTAACCACTCATGCCCAGCTTGAGACAATCACCACTCATGCCCAGATTGATGCACTCACCACTCATGCCCAGCTTGATGCAATCACCACTCATACCCAGCTTGATGCACTCACCACTCATGCCCAGCTTGATGCACTAACCACTCATGCCCAGCTTGAGACAATCACCACTCATGCCCAGATTGATGCACTCACCACTCATACCCAACTTGATGCAATCACCACTCATACCCAGCTTGATGCACTCACCACTCATACCCAGCTTGATGCACTCACCACTCATACCCAGCTTGATGCACTCACCACTCATGCCCAGCTTGATGCACTCACCATCATGCCCAGCTTGATGCACTCACCATCATGCCCAGCTTGATGCACTCACCACTCATGCCTAAGCTTGATGCACTCACCACTCATGCCCAGCTTGATGCACTCACCACTCATGCCCAGCTTGATGCACTCACCATCATGCCCAGCTTGATGCAATCACCACTCATACCCAGCTTGATGCACTCACCACTCATGCCCAGCTTGATGCACTCACCACTCATGCCCAGCTTGATGCACTCACCACTCATGCCCAGCTTGATGCACTCACCACTCATGCCCAGCTTGATGCACTCACCACTCATGCCTAAGCTTGATGCACTCACCACTCATGCCCAGCTTGATGCACTCACCACTCATGCCCAGCTTGATGCACTCACCACTCATGCCCAGCTTGATGCACTCACCACTCATGCCCAGCTTGATGCACTCACCACTCATGCCTAAGCTTGATGCACTCACCACTCATGTCCAGCTTGATGCACTCACCACTCATGCCCAGCTTGATGCACTCACCACTCATGCCCAGCTTGATGCACTCACCACTCATGCCCAGCTTGATGCACTCACCACTCATGCCCAGCTTGATGCACTCACCACTCATGCCCAGCTTGATGCACTCACCACTCATGCCTAAGCTTGATGCACTCACCACTCATGCCCAGCTTGATGCACTCACCACTCATGCCTAAGCTTGATGCACTTACCACTCATGCCCAGCTTGATGCACTCACCACTCATGCCCAGCTTGATGCACTCACCACTCATGCCCAGCTTGATGCACTCACCACTCATGCCCAGCTTGATGCACTCACCACTCATGCCCAGCTTGATGCACTCACCACTCATGCCCAGCTTGATGCACTCACCACTCATGCCCAGCTTGATGCACTCACCACTCATGCCCAGCTTGATGCACTCACCACTCATGCCCAGCTTGATGCACTCACCACTCGTGCCCAGCTTGATGCACTCACCACTCATGCCCAGCTTGATGCACTCACCACTCATGCCCAGCTTGATGCACTCACCACTCATGCCCAGCTTGATGCACTCACCACTCATGCCCAGCTTGATGCACTCACCAATCATGCCCAGCTTGATGCACTCACCACTCATGCCCAGCTTGATGCACTCACCACTCATGCCCAGCTTGATGCACTCACCACTCATGCCCAGCTTGATGCACTCACCACTCATGCCCAGCTTGATGCACTCACCACTCATGCCCAGCTTGATGCACTCACCACTCATGCCTAAGCTTGATGCACTCACCACTCATGCCTAAGCTTGATGCACTCACCACTCATGCCCAGCTTGATGCACTCACAACTCATGCCTAAGCTTGATGCACTCACCACTCATGCCTAAGCTTGATGCACTCACCACTCATGCCTAAGCTTGATGCACTCACCACTCATGCCCATCTTGATGCACTCACCACTCATGCCTAAGCTTGATGCACTCACCACTCATGCCTAAGCTTGATGCACTCACCACTCATGCCTAAGCTTGATGCACTCACCACTCATGCCTAAGCTTGATGCACTCACCACTCATGCCCAGCTTGATGCACTCACCACTCATGCCTAAGCTTGATGCACTCACCACTCATGCCTAAGCTTGATGCACTCACCACTCATGCCTAAGCTTGATGCACTCACCACTCATGCCTAAGCTTGATGCACTCACCACTCATGCCCAGCTTGATGCACTTACCACTCATGCCCAGCTTGATGCACTCACCACTCATGCCCAGCTTGATGCACTCACCACTCATGCCTAAGCTTGATGCACTCACCACTCATGCCCAGCTTGATGCACTCACCACTCATGCCCAGCTTGATGCACTCACCACTCATGCCTAAGCTTGATGCACTCACCACTCATGCCTAAGCTTGATGCACTCACCACTCATGCCTAAGCTTGATGCACTCACCACTCATACCCAGCTTGATGCACTCACCACTCATGCCCAGCTTGATGCACTCACCACTCATGCCCAGCTTGATGCACTCACCACTCATGCCTAAGCTTGATGCACTCACCACTCATGCCTAAGCTTGATGCACTCACCACTCATGCCTAAGCTTGATGCACTCACCACTCATACCCAGCTTGATGCACTCACCACTCATGCCCAGCTTGATGCACTCACCACTCATGCCTAAGCTTGATGCACTCACCACTCATACCCAGCTTGATGCACTCACCACTCATGC